ACCTTTTGACTGAAAAAAAAGCTGTGGAGAAGGGCTGAAAATGGCAGAAGCCAGCACGTGGGAGTTCGAAGAGCGCTGTGGTTAGTTACTTCACAGATGAGTTTGTCCTGTGGGTTGTTTTTTTACTGTGTGATGGGTTTTTCCACCATTGCATATTTTTGTACTTGTACTTTCTGAGTAGGTGAGGATGGAAAAATACATTAGGGGTTGAAGGGTTTTTTTTTCTTTTTTTTTCTTCTGGTCTTATTGTTAGAGATCTGCACCAAAAATACAGACTAAATGCAATGCAGGTGAAAAGCAGTGATCTTTGAGCTCGGCCAGTCAACCAGAAAGCTGCACACCCTGAGCAAGAGGGAAAGTACTTTCATTCTTATTGCATGGTGTGCTGTTTTTGTTAAGCTCAGTAGTTGAATTCTTTATAAATATTTTCTTTGTACTTTCAGAGAGTTTTTCTTTCTTTTTGATAGATCAGGCTTTTATCAAGGTGGTTTGATGTTACAATTTGAAAGATTTGGGGACTGTTCTCCGTTTTGTTATTTCTCTGTCATTTAGTGCATCGATCCATTTTTAGCATTTGATGAGAAAAGATTTTTAAATGGTTGTATGTGGCATTCATCTCAATGACAAGGAAGTTACTTAAAGGAAGTTTGTTTTGATTGCATTGATGGGGAGAAACAAACAAAATTAATCTAGTCTTTGTGTATAAGTAGATCCAAGTGTTGCCCAGTTCATCTGACAGCTCTTTCCTGGGCACTGGAGCCCAGTGCAAGCCTCCTCTGCTTGGAAGCAGCACTGCAGGCCTCAACTGAAGAGTCACCCTTTCTTCTTTGCTTTTCCCCTGGTTGTGGAGAGGCAGTTACTTTGCATCTGATTCAGACCACAAGCAGCTTTATTTTCACTTGTGACAGCTGTTCAGTGAGAGTGAAGCAGCCAGTTCCTCCTCTCTGCTTGCAGTCCAGAACAGATACGGTCTCTGCTGGTGCCCTAAAGAGTTCAATATCCCAGGAGACAGTAGAACAATCCTTGCAATCCTTGGCTTATCTGCTGATATGCCCTTTGAAGATCAATTTAATGCTAGTTCTTTTTGTGTGAGGAAGAAGGGGGTGTTTACAGGAATTACAATCATCCATTTTCCTTGAGATGAACCAGAATACATAAAACAGGGAGTTGTTCAGAGGTCCTCTGACAGCCTTCTAGCATGCACCTACACCTCCCCGTGCTAGGATCCCATCTCTGTGCTTCTGGACACCTACTCCCTTTTCCCACGTACTGCATCCATAAGCTGAGATCTGCCAGCTTTCCCTCATCTGCATGTCAGACCTTATTTCTTCCTCTCCCTGGTCCCTGTACTCCCTATATCACCTCTGACCTGAACAGAAACCATCATGCCAGCAGTGACTGGAGTAAGAACCATGCTTTAAGCAGACTGGAGAGACTGTAACTACTGCTTGTCAGCTGATTGCACATTGCGCATTGCAGGCTCTGTGGAAGCATCCACCCCACAACATGGATAAGCACCTTCATGTCACAGCTCAGAGCTGTTGCTCCGTGCCACTGTGAAGTATTTCAGGTTGGAGAGTTTGGGGACCTCTGAGCAGAGATCAAAGTCTTATGAGCCTGTTTTCTTCTTGGGCCGATGTTGGTCCGATACTCCCATTTCTAAATATGAAAATATCATGATTTGGAAGCACAAGGCAGTGTGTGATGAAAAATATCACTTTCTCTGAACAGTGTTATTTATCTACTTCCTTTGTCCACTTCATTAATGACTAAGTAGTGGTTGAAATAACAGAAAAGATAAGTCCAAGGTTTTTTTAAGGCCATGTTTCAACATAAATCTGTTTTCTTAACATATCCTCTTTCCTTCCTCTGAGACATTTACTATCTTTTTGTGTTTAGAGCAAGAAGAAGGAATGCAGCATGTGTTGTCGCTGCCCTTGAACTTCTTAGCAAAGCTGGCACTGCTTCCTCCTTGGTTTACTTCACTTCTTGTTTTGCCTCTCTATCCACCTAATGCATCAGTTCGCAGGAGGATCCCTTATAAAATGGAAACCTTTCCAGTGAGGCATTTCTTTCCATCCTGTAAAAAGTGTCTGCTGTAAATTTGTTCCAGGTTTATTAACTACTTTGCACCAAAGTCATAAATTTTAATAACTTCACAGAAGAGGATTTGCCCTCTTTAAATAGGGGCTGACACAGTATGGTACAGCACACTTTCTCCCATATAATAAAATAAATTACAGCAATTAGCTTGTTCTGCCACAAGCCTTATACATATAGCATCTGTTCATTTTGGGATAGGCTTTAGGCCTGGAAGGAATGCAGAATTAGGAATTGCTATGGAGTGATGTCTCCACAGTGTAATAGCAGCAGGTTCCAGACATTTAACTGCATAAATGCCTGGCTCAAGGTTGCTGTTACTCCTTCTGTTACGTAATAGCAGAGATACATGATTTGAGGGAAGTTTGGGTATGAATTTTGTGGCTGTTTTATGCCAACACCAGCTACTTCTGGAATGTCTGGGCTCTTTGTAGTCAGGAGCCTGCAAGCAAGGGTGGGTGAATTGCTTCTTGATGGTGTGGAGTGGTGGCTTACAGGGGTGCAGTTACATCAGCTGTGAGGAAAACACCTCCACACCCACCAGAACTCACGCTTAGCTCTCTCACTTGAATTTAGTAATTCCTACCCATTTCTAACAGGTGGGAAAGAAGGACTGTGTTGACTGCAGCTTATTCCACGAGAGGATTGCAAGACTTTAAAGCTGCTCCACTGTCTTATATTCTCCATTATCCTGTTTGTACAATAATAGTATTTCACTTTTGTGGTGTTAGCACAAACCCAAAAATTTGTAGAACTTAATTAACTTAATTAAGTAAATCACTTTGAGTCATTTTAAGGGAATGAAATACAGACCTTCTAGCCCCTTGCTTTAACACTTGTGTTTCCTCCTCCAGCTGGCAAATTAAATACAAAACATAGATGACGAGTAATTATTCTTGTTAGCACATCCACCTTCCCAGTAAAGATGGGTTACACTAATTAACAGAATAGCATGCCTTAATACTGAAACTTCCAGTTAGGTGCTCCTCTGATGAGTTATTCAGGTAGAAGTTTGCTGCTTATCAAGATATTTGTTTTAAGTAAAGAGAAGCAGCCAAGCAGCCACCCTTGCTGGATGGCACAACTATAGCCTATTTTCAGACTAGAACAGATATTCTGGAGATGCAAATATTGTGCACATCGGAGTGAGCTCCCGTGATGTGGGAAGTAATTCAGGCAAGTACAGAGTCCAGTCTCTTTTCAAACTATTGTCTTGAACCAGGTGCTTCACTCATTTCTTTTGTAGACCTTTAAAGACCTAATCCAAATCCAGTTGATATTAATTGAACCTTTTATTACTTGGTGCAGGGGGGAAGGTTTGAGGTCTTCTGCTAAATCCTGCAGTGCACTGCAATCATTCTAGGCCCCTCTCTCCAGCCTGCTGCTCTCCTCTGCCTAGTACAGTATAATAGAGTGTCCTTCTCATTGCTTGCAAGCTACCAGCAGTGGTATAAATAATTATTATTACTGCATGTCAACACTTTTGGTCTTATTCTTTACTGGATGTTTTTCCAAAATAAAAGCTTTAGTGGATGAAGAAATTATGATTCTGGTCTGAACAGTTGGGGGAGAGGCGGGGAGTGAGTAACAAACCCCACAACCTTGCAAATGTAAAAGTAATGAAGAGTTTTAAACCTCAGTCTTCCAGAAGCTCTGCTGGGCTGCAAGATGACTTTGTCATCTCAGTAAGTTTTGTTTCCAAAACCTAATACTTATAATTTAGATTTCTACATTAACTGTTGCATTGCTGATAATTTTGACAGAAACATAAAGCTGCTTTATTGCAGAGAAAGTATCTGGTCTAACTTTCATTGGTTTAGTTGACAAGGATTTCACTACTGTCCTGGGAAAGCAATTTTGTTTGTTGCCCGATAGATGACAGGAAGTTACCTGACTTGAAATCTAACTGTCTCTTACTCACTCTTGGCTTTTTAACAGTGTGGACTGTCTGCCTCAAACAGTTCAATTTTCAACTTGCACATGATCATTTATACCCACATAACTAGGGTTTTGTTTCTGAATTTCTTGGGTTTGTCTGACTTGCACTATTCTTGAAGTGTCATTTGAAGTACAAACAAGTCACCCATCTATCTGTTCATCTTACATAGAATTTGTGATAAGTAAAATGAAGGTCTTAGGCATCCTACCTGCCTGCATATGTGTATGTGTATATGGATGGATCTCTGGTTGTGGTATGAGAAAGCTCAGGTGCAATGGCATTTCAGCAAGCTGCATCATGTGGCATTATTGGAAATGCTTCTTTATGTTGTCATTGCTGATTGCAGCAAAGTGCATTTTTCTTTAGGGTTATATAAAATTCATATGATTTCAGAGACACCAGAATGGTAGTTACAGCTAAGGGGCTCCCTTCTTTGCAAATCTTAGAAAATGTGTAGGATGCCTGATGGCATGAATCAGTATTCTGATTTTTATGTCAGGGTATTGTGGCAGCACATTCTGCTCCTTTAGCTTCCCTTTTTGTTATGCCAGTATTCACTGTGACTCTGCTAGCCTGCTTCCCTCTCCTCTGTGCTCATAGAAAGCTGGCTTGCTTGGGGATAGAATATCTAAAGAGGAAAAGACAAGTGTCCCCCATGCATGGTGCACCTCCAGATATTTAGAAAATGTACTGGTCTCTCCAAGAAGGTAAGTACTACTTTGCAACAGCTCTTTAATTCTTGGCACTTTGTCTAGGTATCAAAGGGTGAGATGGAGAACTCAAACTGTGGCGTTATAAATAAACAAGAAAGATAGGAAATTAATGTAGGAGTGCGATCTGTTAAGTACCACTTGTGATTACCTAGCTTAGGGAATGATCTGAGATGACTGATTAGAGTTTCCATGCTGAACCCTTCTTTGTGGCACAGTCCTGATGCAGTTTCTTTCATTTTTATCTTCAGGGGCTTCTGTAAGTGGGAAGAAGGATTCTGGTTGTGTGACAGCAGCCCTTGGCAACACGTGGAGTCACAGCGTCAACACCAGGCTCATACTACAATATCATGACTTGCCAAAAAGACAGGTGAGAAACAATGAATAGAATTTAAATAAAGCTACACCAGCAGTGCTTGGTCAGATGGGCTGTGTCCTTCAGCCTCTGTGGTTATTCTAGGTGTGTTGAGAAGTTGGCACTCTAGAGCCAATTGCTTATTTGGGGTGGGGGGTAGTCAGTGTCCTTTGCTTTTAAGGGATGGCCAGTGTTTTCCTGTGTTAGGATGGGCTTATCTGAGTTACAGTTGGCACAGGCATACAAGTTCCTTGAGCTTTTAGTGCATTCCACTAGTGCATTGTAGAAATGAAAGGTAATCCTTAAGAGCTTACCTGCACAGGGATTTTGGGGCAGGAGTAGAAACCTTTTACTGCCATGATTCTTTTGCTGTCATGCTGGCTGCTCTTTGTGCCCAGTTTCAGCTGTGACTGTTAGGACAGGGAACACTCTATCTTCTGTGATTGCTCTTTGTGAGTAAAAGCTTGCTGCTTGCACTAGCAAGCTTAGCTTTCAGCAGTAAGTATGGCACCAATTTTCCAGAAGTATGCTTGCAAATAGGAGAATGTTGAACCCTTTTTGCTAAGAGACTTTATGCTTTTGAGTGAAATATAGTAGCATTCTGACTGCAATCTTCACCTCTTAATTTAGAAAACTGTGGAAAAACTAGGAGACAAGACATTTGGGGAATGATTGAGGGAATAAGGGGTTTTTTGTGTTTTAAAAACACCATAACCCCTGATTTCATCTGTCCTTTGGGATATCTGTAGTTATAATCTATTTTGGCTTTGTCTGTTCTGTTTTTGCATTGATGTAACTCTTTCCAAAGGCTGTGACCCTCAGTCTTAATGTTATTGATTTTCTGCCAGTTAAAGTAGAGAACTGTCAGAAAAATTGCTATGTGATATTTGTACCATCTTACTTCTGTAGCATTACTACCCATGTGCATTCAAATTGGTCCTCCTGGCTTTACTGCCACAGCACAAGGTTTCTCACTTTTTGGTTGCCATCTTTAGAGCAAGAGAAGAGGAAGCCATCCTGTTTTGTTAGAAATTTATTTATTAGAGGTAAAATTATAATGATAACACTCCTGTTCCTATGAGTAGTGGGCACAGTGGTAGTCCTCTGGACTCTGAGGGAGGAGGTTAAGTGTGTCAAAGGAAGGTAGAAAAGGCGTCTTCTGGACTCGCTTCTAAAAACCATGCATAGAAATGTACTTTCTGCTGCTGCTCTTAGAAATTCTTTTCTGTTCTGCTTCTTATTCTGGTCTGTAATGAGTTCTCCTTTTCTACAAAAATACTAGGCTGTGCAAAATACAAAGCTGTTCGCAAATTTCCTGGATCGCTTTGGAGTTACATGAGAGGTGGAGTTGGCCGAGGGTAAAGGGCAGGAACTGGGCCCTGTGCTACTTCATGATGCACAAAGTCAGCTAAAAAGGATTAAGAACATTCCTCTGGTGGGGGAAAAAGAGAGCAGTTTTCCTAAAGAACATTCAGATATTACATGTGGTTTTTCCTGATTTTGTTTGAGAAGTAACAGATCACAAGGGATGAAAAGTTGTGTTCAAGTTTTGAAAATTATAACCTGCTTAGCAGAGTTTTCCTCTCTTCCTGACTGGATTTATCAGGTGCAGCACCTTGCTTAAGTGTGAAGCCATGGGCTCACTCTTTTTTAATTAGGCAGAGAAACTAAAGCTACAGTGAAGAAAAACAACCTTAAAGTAAGTGTTAGCATATATTATTAAAAGCAAAGTAATTTGAAGTAGAAGTATGATAGGTCTGTGAAGTCCATGAATGAAATGGGATATGTCCACAATATCCTGTAAGTATTTTCCTCTTGCTGGTATCTGTGTCCTTTTCTCAGATAAATTCTCTTTTCTTAAACTCACAAAAGTCTTTCAGGTAGACATGCAGTTTCCAGGAAGGCATCAAGAGTCACCCTACCTCTAGCAGCACTGTATTGATCAAATTACTATAATTGTATGCATGTATGGTCCTTTATAATTGTTTTATACCCACTTTCAGAACTGAACTGTGGATAAGGGTGCCTCAGTTCTTGAGATGCCATTTCAGTCATCATAAGGTGGTTCTGCCAGGAGTGCTTTGAAAATCAGCATTTTTTAAGGAAACTTAACATGAAAATCTAAAAATTCTTAAGTCAGTAATCACATTTAAAAATTCTCATATTACTGTATTAAAACAAGCAAACAAACAACGCAGAAACCCGTGATTATATGTAGTCATGGTTTTGAAGTGAAATTTTGCCCTGAAAAATTACTGAAAGCACACAGTTGTTCCAGAGACTTTAGTGAAAAGTAGTGCAAAACCAAGTTTTTCCTGCTTTTCAAAATTTGTAACCTTACAGAATCAATACTATACAAGGAATTCCCTGTATTTTCATAGAATTATTGAATATGCTGAATTGAAAGGGACTCATCAGGATCATCAAGTTCAACTCCTGGCCCTGCACAGGACAACCATATGCCTGAGAGCGTTTTCCAAATGGTCCTTGGACTCTGTCAGGCTTGGTGGTGTGACCACTTCCCTGGAGAACCTGTTCCAGTGCCCAATGACTCCCTGGGTAAAATACCTTTTCCTAATATACAACTTAAACCTCCACTGTCTCAGCTTCATGCTGTTGCTTTGAGTCCTATCACTGGTCACAAGAGTGAAGAGATCAGTACTTGCCCCTTCATGTCCTCTCATGAGTATGGTGAAGATTGCAATGAGGTCTCCCCTCAGTCTCCTCTTCTCCACACTGAACAGACCAAGTGACCTCAGCCACTCCTCATACAGCTTCTCCTCAAGGCCCTTCACCATCCTCATTACCCTCCTTTGGATGCTCTCTAAGAGCTTAATATCTTTCTTACATTGTGGTGCCCAAAACTGCACACAATATTCAAGGTGAGGCCACCCCAGTGCAGAGCAGAGCAAGACAATCCCCTCCCTCGACGAGCTGGTGATGCTTTGCCTGATGCCCCCAGGACACAGTTGTCCTTCCTGGCTGCCAGGGCACTGCTGACTCAAATTCAACTCACCGTGGACCAGGGCCCCCAGGTCCCTTCCTAGAATCTCATTCCCCAGTCTGTATGAACATCCCGGGTTGCCCCATCCCAGATGCAGAATCTGTTACTTGGCCTTGTTAAACGTCATACAGTTGGTCATTGCCCATCTCTCTGATTTTTCAAGGTCTTTCTTCAGGGTCTCTCTACCCTTGAGGGAGTTGACAGCTCCTCCCAATTTAGTGTTGTTAGCAAACTTAATATGCTTTTGAGTCCTGCGTCCAGATTGTTAATGAAAATGTTGAAGAGCGTTGGGCTGAGGATGGAGCCCTGCAGAACCCCACTAGTGACTGGACACCAGCCTGGTGTTACCCCTTTCGCTGTAACTCTTTGTGCCCGACCTGTGAGCCAGTTGCTCATCCATCATGTAACACGGTTATTCAGCTGTATGCTGGACATTTTGTCCAGAAGGATGCCGTGAGAGACAGTATCAAAAGATTTGCTGAAGTCCAAAAGGATTACATCTACTGGCTTTCCTAGATCAACTAGGTGAGTTAGCCTGTCATAGAAGGAAATCAGATTTGAGAACCACAACTTCCCCCTCATGTAGCTGTGCTGGCTGTGACCAATGACTGCATTGTCCTCCAGGTGTTTCTCAATACTTTTCCGTAATTTTACTGGGCACTGAAGTGAGACTGACAAGCCTGTCATTTCTGGGGTCCTCCTTCTTGCCCTTCTTTAAAACTGGGACAACATTCACCAGCTTCCTGTCAACTGGGACCTCTCCGGTTTCCCAAGACCACTCAAAAATCATTGAGAGAGGTTTTGTGATGACATCAGCAGCTCTTTGAGGATTCTGGGTTGAATCCTATCGGGCCCCATAGATAAGCAGGGATCCAGCTTGAGCAGCAGATCCTGCACAATTTCAAGATCGACTGGGAGTTGATCATTCTTGCAGTTGTGGTCTTCCAACTTGGGGCACTGAGACCCCCTTGATCTATCATCCATGTTGAAGACAGAGGCAAAGAAAGCATTAAACACCTCTGCCTTGTCTCTGTCCATGTTTCTGAGGTGACCCTCCTCACCCTGTAATGGGCTGATGATATTTCTATACTGCCTATTGCCATTAATATGTTTGAAAAAACTCTTTTTATTATCCCTCGCATTTCTGGCTGGCTCCAACTCCAACTGAGCTTTGGCCACATGAACTTTCTCCCTACAGCAGCAAGCAGCATATTTGTATTCTTCCCATATCACTTGACCTTGCTTCCACTGGGCATACACCTTCCTTTTCCTTGCACAGTGGACACAATTTTTTCTTTCAAATGCTAGAATTCATTCTTTATTCACTTGACCTCCCAGAGATGCTCTTCCTGGCTCTACTTTCCCTCTTTCTTTCCCTGGAGGAGGTGGCGCAGTGGTGACAGTCTGAGGGATTTTCTCTCATTACATCTGACTTCCATGGTAGTAGAGTCAGTGCACTAATCCTCGATGCAAAATCCCACACATCAAGAGAGAAAGCACCTCTTGAGAAGCACTTGGCCAATGTTGGTATTCTTCAAAACATGAACCGATAATGTAATTGTTAAGGAGAATTCAAGCAAGTGGTTTTCCAGAACCATAGTATCTCCTGGACAGGACAGCCTACTGGGCTACTAGGTGCTTGTTTTTAGTCATGCAGTATTTGTTTCTGAGAAAGTTCAGGGACATAGTCCCTGTTCCTAAAACTTTGAGGAATGCCAGGGCAGCAGGTGGCAGAACAAGTATGCAACAAACTAGGAAAATTAAGCTTAGAACTCCTGTACAGTTGGGATTTATTTCAAATATTAAGTAAAAAGTGCCTTTATTTTGTTTGTCCAGTAGACATTTTCGAGCCAACTATCCCTTTTTCCACCCCACCCTTCCTATGTCTGGTGAACATTAATAAGACAGCAGCCAATTCAGCAAAGTAATGAAATTTCTGGGACATCCTACCTGCCTTAAAATCAATTGGGTTTGCTTTGTTGCTTGGATAGGAACAGGTTTCTGAATAAAC